TAAACAAAGCAATAACAATCTTCAAGTGGTAAAGTAAGAATCCAGAGTTGCTACAATATATTATCTAAAAGGTTCAGCATTCAACAAAAAATGATGAGACATGCAAATAAACAAGAAAATGTGAATGTCTCTAAAGGTTTGATTTATCAGACAAAGCCTATAGAGCAGCTATTATAAATACATTCAAAGAATTAAAGGAAATCATGTTTAAAGATTTTTTTAAAAACATGACAATGATGACTTTATGAATAGAAAATCATAACAAAGAGAAATTATTTTTTAAAAAGAAAAAAGAACCAAATGGAAATTGTGGCACTGAAAAGTACAATAAATGAAATGAAAAATTCACTAGAAGGGCTCAGCATAAGAAATGACCAGAAGACTTGAAAATAGATCATTATAAATTATCCAGCCTGAAGAATGGAGAGGAGAAGAGATTGAATAGAAACGAACAGAGCCTCAGAGACCTATGGGACAACATCAAGTCTACCAGTATACAAGTAATGGGAATCCCAGAAGAAGAGAGAGAAAAACAAAAACTATTGGAAGAAATAATGGCCCCAAACTTTCCAAATTTGGTGAGAAACATTAATATACAGATCAAAGAAGCTCAATGAATCCAAAGTAGGTTCAACACAAAGAGATCCATACCCAAACACATTCTAGTCAAAATGTTGAAAGCTGAAGACAAAGAGAAAATCTTAATAGCAACAAGAGAAAAACAATTTATCACATAAAAGAAAACAATAATATGATTAATAACTGGCTTTTCATGAGAAACAATGAATACGAAAGGCAGTGGAATGATATATTCCACTATATGAGTGCTGAAAGAAAAACTCAACCAGGAATTCTATATCCAGCAAAACTATCCTTCAAAAATAAAGTAAAAATAAAGAGATTTCCAAATAAATATAAACTGAAGAATTTACTGCTAGCAGATCTATCTTACAAGAAATACTAATGGAAGTTCTTCAGGATAAAAGGAAGTGACACTCAATGGTAACTCAAATCCACAGAAAGAAATGATAAATATGAGTAAATATAAAAGACTCTATAAACATATTTTTCTCAGTTTTTATCTTAGCTTCTTTAAAAGACATAAGATTGTACAAAGCAATTACTATAATACCACCAATGGTTTATAATAATTCTTAGGTTTACGATGTATATATGGTGATATATGTGACAATAATAGCACAAAGAGGGGAGAGAAAAAAGGATATTGATTCTAATAAATTAAGATATACATTGTAATTCCCAGCACAACCACTAATATTCAAATAATAAAGTAAAAAGGAATTAACAACAAAGAAGTTAAAATGGCATGCTAAAAATATTTAATTATTTAATACAAAAGAAGGTAGTAAAGAAAGAACAGAGGAACAAAAACAACGTGAAACAATCCAACCATATCAATAATCACATTAAATGTGAATGGACAAGACATCCCCAATCAAAAGGCAGAGATTTTCAGATTGGATAAAAAAGCAAGTAGGTTGAAAGTAAAAGGATGGACAAAGATGTACCAGCAAACAGTAATCATGAGAGAAGTTTCTAGATTTGATGAAAGACATGAATCCTCAGATTCAGGGAGCAGGCACATGCACGCGCATGTACACACACACACATCATAGCGAAACCACAGAACACCAAAATCAAAGACAAGATCTTAACAGAAATCAGAGAGAAATGAAAATTACCTACAGAGACAATTAGATTGACAGTACACTCCTCAACAGCAATAACAGAAGACAAATGACAAAGGAATCTTCAAAACACTGAGAGAAAATAATGATTGACCTAGAATTCTATAATAAGGTAAATTATCTTAAATACTGAGGGTAAACTGCATTTTTTGTTAAAGGCAGAATTTGCTACTAACAGACACTCACTGAAAAAATTACTACAGAATTTACTTTAAAAGGAAGGAATGAAATGTAAGAAGGTACAGTGAGGGGAGAAAAGGTAAAGATGTGAGTATATATAACCAAGTACTAATAGCATAAAATGTAACAACAATAATAAAGACTAATTTGGAAAGACAAAAAGAAGATGGTACCAGGGACTGGCCTGATGGCATGGTGGTTAAGTTCATGCGCTCCACTTCAGCAGCCCGGGTTTGAGGGTTTGGATCTTGGGCACTTACCTACACACTGCTCATCAAGCCATGCTCTGGTGGCATCCCACAGACAAACTAGAGGGAGATTGGCATAGATGTTAGCTCGAGGCCAATCTTCCTCACCAAAAGAAAAAAGAAAAAAAGGTTGAACTAAAATACTGGGCAACAAGTACACATAAGAAAGGAAGAGGCGATCAAAGTTAAAGTGCCCTAAGGTCTTTGCATTGTCCAGGAGAAAGGCAGAAGAAATTGTCAACTTTAGACTTTGCTAAGTCAAATAGGCACACTAAAATTATAAGAGTAACCATAAAGAATGAAAATAGAATATATAACTGCTAAACTAGTTTAAGGAGAAAAATGAAGAAAACCCAACTGATCCAAAAGTAGGCAGCAAAGGAGTAGAAAGGCATCAACCAAAAGACAGGATAAATAGAAGGTACAAAGTAAGATGACAGAAACAAAATCCAAGTATATTGGTAATCACAATAAACATAAATGTGCCAAATTCTCAAACAATTGTCAGAATGGATATAAAATAAAATCTAGCTATAAACTATTTACAAAAAACATACCTAAAACATAAAGAGACAAAATGTTTTAAAGTAAAAGATGGAAAAAGATGTTCTGGGAAAACACTGAACAAAAAAATAGACTTAAAGGCAAAATGCATTATTATAGATAATAAGTTGACATCTCTCATGCATTAAACTTTCTTCCTCTTCTGTAAAGCAAAGATTATAAGCCATGCCTCCCAGGAGAAATATGTATTATATACATGATGTTAGATAGTGTAAAGTGCTAAGAAGAAGACAAGAAAAACAGAGAAAGGAAATAGGAAATGTTGGCGGGTGTAGTTAAAATTTAGATTTTAGAATATTTGGGGAAAGACCTGAAAGAAGTGAGGGAGTGATCCATGGGAGTGTCTGAGAAGGAGAGATCCGGACAGAGGCAGCAGCAAATGCAAAGACCCTGCGGCTGGAGCACACCTGTGGTGTCAGAGGAGCAGCAAGGGGACTAGTGTGGCTGGAGTGGTAAGGGAAGAGAACAATGTTAGGAGGGGAACTTAGAGGTAGCAAGGGCCAGATCATGCAGGGCCTTATAAGCCATAGTAAAGTCCTTGAATGTTCCTCTGAGTAAGCTTTTGAGTGAATGTAGTTCTATTTTTAAATGATCACTCTGGCTGTACTGAGAGAGAATGAAGTGGAGCAAGGGCAAATGCAGGAGACCAACTAGAAGGCAGTGCAACAGACCAGACAAAAGAACATGGCAACATGAACTGGAGTGGTGGCAGTGGAGGTGGAGAGGAGTTGAGGGATCCTGGTTATGCTTTGAAGGTGAGACCAACAGGATTTGCTGGAGGACTGGATGTGGGATATGACAGAGAGAAAGGAGTCAAGACTGACTTCAGGCTTCTAGACCAGAGCTCCTGGAAGGATAAAGTTGCCATTATCTGAAATGGAGAAGACAGTGGATGGGGCAGGGAATTTGTGGGGGAAAGGACACCAGCAGTTTAATTTTGGACATCTTAAGTTTGAGATGTTTACTAAACATCCAAGTGAGACTTCAATACACAGATATACACACCTGGCATTTATGGGAGGGTTTGGGCTGAAGATGACTTTGGGAGTCATCAGGCTCTTGATAATATTCAAAGCCATGAGGTTGGATGAGCTCACCCAAGGAGTGAGTGTAGAGAGAAGTCCAGGAACTAAGCCCTGAAAACTCCAATGTTCAGATCCTGGAGAGTTTGTAGGCACCAGTGACACAGACTGAGAATAAGTAGCCAGAGAGAGATCTAGGAAAACCTAAAAGGTGGGTTGTCCTCCAAGCTAACTGAGTGAGGTGTTTCAGGAAGGAGTCATCGACTGTGTTAGATGTTGCTGATGGGTCAAGTAAAATGAACACTGAGCACTAACTAGTGGGTTTAGCAACAGAGGCTGGTCTGATGTGAAAAGACGGCTGTGCCAGTCAGATTCCCTGATTCAGGAAATGTAGCAAAGAAATGCTGAGAGACTGAAGCAGCAAACAATAGGAGCCAATGTGGACAGTCTTTTGCACTGCTTTTTGCATTGCTTTTTTCCCCAGCAAATAGTAAAAATAGCTAACCCTTCTTGAGTGCTGGCTATGTGCCAAGAACACTATTATGATGCCTATTTTTAAATAGGGAAAGTGGGGCTCAAAAAAGTCAAGTAACTTGCCCCAGGTCACTCAGCTGGTAAGTTGGTAAGTCATTGAGCTGGAATTCAAACCCATCTCATGCACTTAATTACTAAACTGTGCTGCCTCCGTTTGGTTGAGGGGAAAGTCTACACTTAGGTATGAAACTCACATTTACAAAATAACAATTTGGGGCCAGGTACCTTGTGTTTGCAAACATTGTTTCACTGAACTGTCACAAAACCCCTGTGAGATAAATACAAGTACTGTCGTCATTTTAAAGATGAGAAGACAGAGGCGTTGAGAGGTGAAGTGTCTTGCTAGTGGTCCCACAGGGTGGAGGTGGTGAGGGGAGAACACAGCCCTGATCATCTCTGAGGCTGAAACTCTGCTCGTCCCCTCTCTGTACAGTCAATCCTACTGTTCCTGGGAGGGTGGGCTGAGAGCAATAAAGTCAGGCCAGGGCTGGGGAACCTGAGAGAACCGATGTTGCCCTCACAAGCTCATCACTTTGAGGACGCTTGGTGGTTTCTAAGGACGTGACTCTCTGAGATCTCCAGTCTGAGTCAGCTCCAGGAATCCCAAGTCGGGCTTCCCAGCTCCCCCAGAACCAGACCCGAGCTCTCTCCTTGGGCAGATCTCTGATTTTAAGGCCTAGGCTAGCATGGGACTGACTCTCCCTTCCCGCCCTTTCCTTCGGGCATCCTGGGCCTCTCCCTACCTGTCCGGTAGTGAGGGAACGGGTGTAGCCAGGAATGGAGCTCCGTGGGTGGATCCGGGGTGGGACACAGCAGCTGGGAAAGGTCAAAATTCCAGATTCAAAACAGGAGTCTGCTAGGAGGCAGGGGAGGGGAATGATAGCATTGGGGCCCATGAGCAGCTTCTATCTGCCAGAAACCCCCAGGAGACTCCTGGGTAAAGGAACCAACCCAAAGAGGCACTCAGACATATGTTGTCACCCGGGACCCCCTCTTTATATGGGGACTACCCAGTTGAACCCTAAGCAGGGAACCCGACCGGTACCCACTTTACACACACCCCCTGCAGGTACCCAGCATCAGCTTCCCGCCTCCCAGCCCCCAGCATTCCCTGTCCTTACTTGATCCGGGCCTGGTCCACGCTGGAGGAGCGGCGGGAGGTGAAGCGCCGGGCGACAGCTTTGGGAGATGTCTTGGGGCTGCCATCTGAGTCTCCGCTCTCCTCGTCCCCCATGGCTTTGATGTAGCTGCCGCTGCGCATCCTGCGGCAGGGGATCTCCCCATCCTTGCCCCCAGTGGGGTAACCCCCCCAGTCATCTTGCGGCACCTGTGGGAACAGGGGCCTCTGTCTCTCAGACACGTCCCTACTAAAACTAGAGGCCAGGACCCTCTTTCCCCACTGCCAGTGGGAAATGCTCTGCCCTGGCTCCAGCAGGCCACACTCAGGAGCATGCAGACATGGAGTGGGAAGCGAGGTCTCAGGCTGTCCTCCCCCTTACAGGAGATGCCTCATCCTCCTCCATGGACCTTTTGCTACTTAACCGAAGGCCACCTAGAAAGTCCTGGGGCTGACAATGCCAGATGCCAAGAGGTCGAAGATCAGAGGTCAAAATGACCTGTGTCAATCCCACCCCCAGCAGTAAAGTATCACCTGACCTCAGTCACCTTTTGTCCCTCCTTCTCCTCCATCCTCTTCACCTGCTTAGATCCCAAATCCTCTGACTCCCCCTCCTTCCTTCTGTGAGGAGCCACAGAGGGTTTTAAGCAGGGGAGTGACATCAGATTTGTGTTTCAGAAAGAGCTCTCTGACAGTCCAAAGAGAGGATGGACTGTGGAGGGCCAGGAGCAGGGCAGGGGCTCAAGTGGCAGGAGGGAGATCAATTAGGAGGCTGTTGCCGTTATCCAGGCAAGAGATGATGAGACCTAAATTAAGACAATGACAATGAGGAGGAAGAGGAGATGGAAATGAGAGGTGTTAAGGAGCATCAGTGAGCCTGATTAGATGTGGGGGGTGAGGGGGCGGGGAGAAGTTGAGGATGACTGGGAGGCTGCTGGCTGAGGACCTGGGGGATGGTGCTGTCGCTCACTGAGCCATAGAATCCCAGAGAAACAGATTTGGGGAAAAGGTGATGGGTTCAGGGTTGGGCATCTTGAGTTTGGCAGAGAACTGTTGAGCAGGTGCTTGGATATTTGGTTCTGGAGTTCAGTGGAGAGATCCGGGCTGGAGGCAGACGTGGGAATCATGGGCGCCTGCTGAATCCAGAGGCGTGAATGGAAGAGCCCAGGGGAAAGAAGAAAGAGAGCTGGGAGGGATCCACTGACATTTAAAAAGAGATTGCAAAGAAAGGAAGAGGAGCCTATGAAGTCACCTGAGAAGGAGTGGGCAGAGGGGTAGGAGGGAACTCAGGAGAATGCCATGTCATGGAAACAGGAGACATTTCCAGAATAAAAGGAATTGATAATGTCAAATGCCACAGTGCATTCAGAGGTTAGTAATTCAGGCTCGGGAGTCAGACAGATCCATGCTCAAATTCTGGCCCCAGCACTTGCTAGCTAGGTGAACTTGAGCGAAACTGATTAATCTCTATCAGTTTCCTCATCTGTGAATTGGTAATGATAATTATTCCTACATCACAGGGTTGGTGAGAAGGGTAAATGAGCCAATATAGAGTGCCCAGCACACAGTAAGTGCTGAATAAATGTCAACTATTATTATTATAAACATTGAAAAGTACCTTTCAAGGAGAGCTCTCAAGAGACCATTGGTGACCACGGCCAGAACATTTTAGAGGACAGAGGGTGTGGAAGTCAGACTGCAGTAAAGGGAAGAGTGAAAGAAAGTGAAGAAGCGGAGTGTATGCTCTAAGAACTTGGATACGAAGGGAAGACACGACGGAAGGGGCTATGGGATTGAGGAAAGGATTTTTTGGATGAGAGACTTGGGCATATTTTCAGGATGAGGGAAAAAGCCAATAAAGATAAAGACAGTCTTTAAATGTGGGGAGGGAGGAGGGACAAACAGCTCAGGGATGGAGGGGGTCCTGGGGAGATGGGCTCAAGCCCTACTGAAGGGATCATCCTGGGATGGTGGTCCTGGCTTCTCCTCTGAGCCAAGAAATAAGGAGGTGGGGGTGGCTGGGAAGCTAAATGAGTCTACAGGTGAGCTGACAGGCAGGGGAGGGGGGTCCGTGATGGTCGACTGCACTACAAAGAATGAGTGTAAATGAAGGTGTGGGGGAGGGGGCTGGGGCAAGTAGGGAAGACTTAAAATACTTGTTGTAAAGAACAGGTTAAATGGGGTGGGGATTGGGGCTCAGAAAGGGATCAGGGATCAGGGCTCAGGGGAGGGACAGAGACTCTGGGAGTGATGCTAGGTGAGGGGACGGAGACCAGTGCGAGAACAGGGACCCAGGGATGGGATGGGGCCCGATGAAGGAGCCTACAGGGAGGAACAGGACTCAATGAAGGGTTGGGGCTCAATCAGAAGATGCGAACACAGGGAGGAAACGAGGCTCCATAAAGGAACAAGAACTCCAAGTGGCAAGAGGAGTTCCGGGAGAGGGTTGAGGGAGAGCTGGGGTCCAGTGCGAGAAACAGGGTCTTGACAAAAGGACTAAGGGTCCAACAAAGACACCTAGTTTGATGGGGCCGGTTTCCCCTGCTTTTGTGCCAGGGGAGCAGCAGGCTGTCTGGAGGGTCCCAGCAGCCCCTTGTTCTCCCCCAAATGGGTTGAGACTTCCCAGTCCTAAGATGCCCTGGAACCCTAGGCCCTAATGGGTCATTCACCTTCCCCATACTCTACAGAGAGGAGCCGCAGGCAGGCAGAGAAAGCCAGGCCAGATGATGGGCCAGCCAGGGCACGCTTTGCCACACTGCAGGGTTCCCACTCCGTAGCCACTGCAGAGCTCCTCGCTCCTCTGCAGGACACTGTGAGGTGCATGTTAAAAAGGAAGCCCCCAGGGAGGCCAGGGCAGCCCTAGAGAAGTAGCAGGGAGCAGTGGGGTGGCAGTGAGGCTCCAGGGATGGCAAGGGCTCAGTTATGGGAGAAGGGTTGGTGTTCCCACCTTGGCCCTTCCTGCGGGACCCTTCAATTCCCAGCTTAGAGAACCTCTCTACGCAGGGAGGGGGCAATCCAAGGCCAATTCAGTAGTCCGGAAGTCTCCAACCTTCCCTTCTGTCTCCCACCCCTCTCTGCTTCCAATGTGGCCCTAACTGTTCCCTTGAGCTTCCGTAAGTTCCCCACCCAGGAGAGCCCTAACACGTGAACAACTTACCAGCAAGCCCAGTGACACCCAAAGACACATGCAACCTCGATTCTCCACACCTTTGGACATGTGTAGCCTCTTCCTGGAACACCCTTCATCCACTTCTGCACTAACCCAACTCCTCCACTGAGATTCAGCTCAGGGGACATTCCTCGTAGAAGCTGCTTTGAGCAATTCCTGGCCACCACCACCCCAGGTGGGTGCGGTGCTTCCTCTGTGCTCCCACGGTACCCAGCACTCTCTCCTACCACAGCCTCATCGCACTGGGTTCTATACGTTTCCTTGCCCACCTCACCTCTAAACAGTGAGCTCTTCACAACCTGCACCTGTGTCTTCATCTTTGCAGCCACAACACCCAGGAAATACTCACTGAATGAATGACTGTGGAATAACTATGTGAAATATTGGGCTTGGGGGATGACCGGAGGTCCGCTGGACTTCTAGAACTTGTATTGACTTTTTGTCCTAAACTATGGGAGGGCTCAAGAAAATATGTCAGGGGGTATGAGAAGAGACCCGAAGCAGAGAAGAGGAAGGTTGAGGGTGAGAAGAGCCTCCGACCAAAGTTCAGTAAAAAGATAGAGAGTGGACAGTGTGGGATGGATGAAGGCTCCATAAGGAGTCAGAGCTCCCAGCATCACCTGCGGAGATCACAGAGCTGGTGAGACAGGATGGGGATATCATGCCCTCTATCACCTGCACCATCCTCTCCCAAGAAGCCCTGTCTTGGCGTTGCATCCGGGGCTCAGACCTCAGTGTGTCTCCAGTCTAGGAAAATCCACGGGACAGCCTCCCAGGGTTCTTCCACAGCTTCATGGGCTGTTCTACTGCAGGTACCCCAGAACGACAAACTCCAGCAGAGGCACATTCTGGAAATAACTGACCTTCATATTCAAACAATATCTGGACCACCCAGATTTGAGCAGAAAAGAGGTCTGGAGAAGGCCTGGGGCAGGAGAACCGCTTTCCAACTGCTGACCTCCAATCTACAGCCTAGAAGCTACAGCCAGGGAGTACCACACAGTCCTGTCCGCTGCCTACCTTAAACCTCATTCTGCCTCCAGCCTCATAAGACAGAGGCCAGCACAGCTGGTCCAAAACAGCAGGTCAAGGGGAAGTCTGCCTGACATGGATACAACATCAGAATAGGAGGGACCCTTCATTGCCCAAATGGGGAAACGGAGGTTCCAAAAGGGCCTCAAGGGGACACAGTGAGGCAGGGCAGAGCTACCCTGCCTCCAAGCTCTCCATCAGGGGCACAGCTGGCTCCCATCCAACCTTTTCCATAGCTCCCTGAGTGACAACACTGATGAGGGCCGAGGACCCAGTTCCCCACCCCCACCAAAGCCTCACCTGCAGATAATGATAAGTCCTGGCTTTGGTCTTGGTCTCTGGACCCAGGAGCCCCTTGCCTGGCCCAGCCCCTGGGTATCCATCCCGGCCTTGGCTGACCATCATGGTATGCCAGGCACTTCGCTTGACTGATTGTCCATCCAGTGACATGGACATGCCAGTGCAGGCAAGACAGCGGCCTTCTGACCCGCCCGAGCGCCCCTTGAAGCTCAAGTCCCGGTAGGACCCATCTGGAGCCTCCAGGCAGAAGGGACCACCAGGCTCCCCCGGGGGCCGGCCACCCGCCAGGAAGCCGCTATCACTGTCCAAGTTGTCGTCGGAGCTCCACCAGCCCGCGGCCTTGGCCTGGTGCCGCCCGTCCCCCTTGCGGTCCTTGCTCTTGCTCCTCTTGCCGTGCCGGGACTGGTGGTGGTGGTGGTGGTGGTGGTGATGGTGGTGGTGGGAGGTGTGAGGGCCTCCAGAGCCCGGGCCAGGGAAGCTGTCTCCCCCAGAGCCACCTCTTCCCTCGGCCTTGGGCCCATTATAGTCCCTCTTCCCTGGGGCCTCCAGAGAGTGGGACTTGGCAAAGAGCTTCTGCACAGAGTGAACCAGGTGCCGGATGCGGCTGGGGCTCTCACTGCGGGCCTCCGGGGCAGTGCCAGACCCCGGCCCTGGTCCTGGCCCGGCCCCTGCTGGACCTCGCTGGTATGGTAGCGTGTGGAAGCCATCCTGTTGAACTGGCAACTGCTTTTCAAACTGGTCCAGGAGTGTAGGAGGCAGGCGGGGGGCACCCTTGCCCTGTGGGTGGCCCACACAGTCTTCACAGGTGTCAAAAGGGCCCTGGCCAGGGTACATCCTGGGGAAGGTGCTGCTACCCCCCCCAACTCCGGCCCCCCCTGGCCCTCCCTCGGGGCCTACTGATGGCCCCTCACTCAGGCTCAGGGGCCCTTCGGGAGAAAGGTGTCCCAGGCCTGCTCTCGGGGCACAGAAGCGGGGCTCGGTGGAGAAGGCCTCCCCGGAGCCCAGCAGGTACGGGGCCCTGGCAGCTGGGCCCACATCCATATGCTGCTGGTCAGCAAAGCGGGCTGGGCGGGGATGGCTGCCTCGGTCGCCATGGTAACCCCTCATGGCCTCAGCAAGGGCTCTTCATAGTGTTGGGGGCCAGGCCCCAGGAACCTCCTGGGAAAATAGGGAGAAAAGGGATTCAAATTGAACAACAGGTCACTTCAACTAAAACTATCGTTTATGAGGTGTTCTTGTATTCTTTTTGGTAATGCATACCAATTTATTGTGATTAACTATACTATCTTTCCACAAATGGACTTAAAATTCCTTAAAACAGTCGTACTAGCCAAAGACACTCACAAGGGCACAAAATAATACCGTCATTCATCAAATTCTGCAAATGTGATAAATATTCCCAAGAGGAAATGCCCTCAGCCAAATGAATTTTTTTAAATCCTTAGGTTAGCAAAAATAAAAGGATACCCAAACAGACACAAAAAAAATATTCAAAGAAACCAGTCATTAGGTGAACTTTTAACAAGCTGGCTTTAGGCAAATTGACCCAGGGCCTCACCTCTGCCCCATCCCTGCCCACTTCCACTGCTGCGAGGAGCCAGGTCTCAGGGTGACAGCTCCCAGCAGCAGTAATGAACAAGAGCACTGGACCCAAAACTACATCTCCAGCATGATTCTGCAGGAAAATCCCTCCACTTCCTTCCACACCCTGCTCCTTCCAACTGACTGCAGGCTCATTCTCCCTCCTTCCAGGACCGAGATAGGAAGGAATAACCTGAGATGACTCCTCCTTCCTCTTCCGGGTTCCAAATAGTCCCCAGTGGAATTTCTTCTCCTTTTGCCTTTTACCCACCCCCCGCCAACCCCATCCCACTGGAGGGAAGTCATAAAGGGAGGAGACACCATAAAGAGGGGGAATACTGGCTGTTCAAGGCAGCATCTGAATCCTAAACTGGGATGGGAACCCGAGAGTTCCTCCTCCTAGGCACAGTGGGCTGGCAGGGCAAGGAGGTGATGGAGAGAAAACGTTGGAATCAGTGTCCCTGGCCCCCATCCCAGGCTTGCCAAGGCTACAGGACAGAGAGGTCAGCTCTCAGCAAGAACTGCCTCCAATCAGGACTCCAGAGCTGCCAGGACAGGAGCTACAGCAGGAGGGGGTGTCAGCAGGAGGGACAGGGACCGATAGGCTGGCAGACGGCGCCCTCCCTCATCCCAGACCAGGCTCCTGGACCATCTGCTGACTAGGAGGGGATGACAGCCTCAAAGACTCCAGACAGCAGCACCTCTGCGACTCACCCTCCCTTCCACCCCGCCATCACCTCCCCATACCCACCGTATTTCAGGCTTCTTCCAGATCCTGCTCACAGCTCATCTCCTACTATTTCCCAAGCACTTGCTATGTATATGGTACTGTGCAGACCTAATGTTCTCTAATCCCACTGACATTCTGTGCATAGATATTATCCACATTTACCCATGAGAAAATTGAGTTCAAAATGGTGAGGTCACAAAGCCAATAAGTGGGTAAATCACTTTGAATCAAGATTCAAACCCAAGTTATTCTGATTTGAGAACCCCCAATCTAATCCCCATCTCTCAGACTCTCCTACCACTCACCATCCTGGGTGTCCCATCCTCGGTGTCAGGATCCCCACTGCCAGGCAGAATACTAACTTCAGAAGGCTCAGGACCACTGGCTCCTGATAGAAAAGAAGAGTGGTGAGTGAAGGGGACAGAGAGTTTCCCAGAGTCCTCAGAGGACCAGTCTCTGGCCTTGACAGTTTCCCTTCCCAACCCCCCAACCAGGAGTGATTGGATCCCCCACGATGCAGAGCCTTTGGACCCCCAGGGAAATGAAGTTGGCTTCATTATGCAAATACATGCAAATGAGCTTACAGGTTGGACTACCTCCAACTGCAGGTGTCTGTGCGATTGTGCTGAGCCACTGCATTTTCATTGCCCTCAAATATGATTCCATTCTACAAATATTTGTTGAGCAGATACCATAAGCAAGACTCTGAGTGAGAAGTGTTTAAGGTGATTTAAGTGTGGTCCCTTGTCATCAAGGGGCTTATAGTCTAAGAGAAGAACAATCTCTCACACGACAGGGTTATTTTAGGTCCCTGTTTTTTTGCATAAGCTGTTCCCTCTTCCCAGAATCTCTTTTCATCCACCCCCCAACCCTTTCCCCTGGCTAATACTACTCATATTAAGCCCTACCTTCCCTTGAAGACTTTCTGTACTTTTATTCTGGGTTATGCCTCTCTATTGGGTTTTTATAACACCCTGGGTTCCCCCATGAAAGCAGCTTTCACACTGCACTGAAATTATCTGTTTCAGTTTCTGTCTCTCCAATTAGAATGTGGTCTTCTGCAGGGTAGGAACCAAATTTTATTTATCTCTGGATCTCCAGCACCTAATTTAGGGCCTTGCCCAGAGCAGGTCCTTAATAAATGTTCATTAACTAGATGAATAAATGACAGGGCTGGAAAGAGGTACCAAAATGTTAGGCTAGTTCAGGTGAGGGCAAGACCAGATTCAATAGAGAGAAATTGAAGAAGACTTCCCAGAAAAGAGTGTGTTTGAGTTGGAGAACAAGATGGCTGTGTGTTCCATAGACAATGGTGATGGGGGAGAGAGAATTCCCAGTGGAGGAAACAGCAGGCACAAAGGCAAACGAGGTGGGAAAATTAGGAATTCTGAGGAGTGGGTTGGGAGAGTTCCAGCAGACATTTAGGGTTTGGAAAATACTGGGAAGCGGTGGGAGAGAGAGAGTCAGAAAGGAAGACAACTCTGAAGTTTGCAGCAGCCGTGACTGGAAGACTAATGATGCCATTATTAGACATGGGGATGTCAGGAAGAAGAGCTAGCTTTGCAGGCATGATTAATGGTAGTGGAAGAGACACAGTCAGACATCAGGAGGAACTTCCTGACCTCGAGGGATGTGAGACAATGAAGAAGATTGTGGAGTCTCCTGGGAATCTTCCACAGAGGAGAGGGTGAGACATGCGCAGCCCCCTGCCCACCCTGTGGCCTGGACTGGAGAAGCTGCTGGTTATCTCGCCTGGAGGGAAACTGGGGTGACCTCACAGATTTCAACTGCCTGGCTCTAGACGACAATTCTCCTCCATTGCTCTTCCCTGTGGAAGCAGAGGTGACTTCAGACCAAGATGGCCCCGAAAGCAGTTGTTGGAAAAGCACGTGGAAGCATCTCCATGCCTTGGAAAGAAGCTTCGATAGCCTGGTCCTTTGTCCATGGCATGGTCCTTCTTATCCTGCCCCAGGCAGCATCCACATCTGAGACTCAAAGCACGAAAGGCCACTTTGGCAGAAGCCCAGACCAGCCCATGGGCTTTGTTTGTGGTCAAATCAAGCTGCAGCCTCATGCTGAGCCTTCCCAATGGTGGCCATTCCCGGGCTCCCCCCTCCTCAACCCACACAGGTGCTGCTGCCAAGCCACTGAGCCCGCATCAAGATCTTCTCAAACTTCCATCTTTTAGCATCAATCCATATTCTCCTGGCTCTAGTCTCAGAGGTTATGGGCCCCTGTAATTGCTCCTCTCCGGACAAACCACCCCTGACTCCCTTACCAATGGCCTATGGAGCAGCACTGCCTAGTGGGAAAAGCGCAAGCCCTGAGATCAGAAGGTGTGTGACACTAGACAAGTGACCTACCCTCCCTGAGCCTAATGACACCTGCTCACCTATCTCCCAGGGCTGTAATGAATATCAAATGATACAATGTATACAAAACCAATTTATAACCTCTAAGATTCCATAGTGTCATCCTTCATGTGAAGCCTTTATTTTGGATTTCCAAAATCTCCAATGTCCAAAAGAGTAAATAATACAATCAAATCCAAATTACCGGGGGAAGAAGAAGGTCAACTTACGAATTTCCTAAAGAGAAGATTTAATTGATATAGATTTAACTATATAGGCTTCCTCCTATATATTATGCTTTATGATCACATTCCTCCTGCTGCCATCCCATTACTAAACATAATCAATAGGAAGGAAAAATGAGCAAGGAGGGGACTAAGAATGCAATCCATCACCAAGTCCTGTGGATTTTGCTTTCTAAGAATAGATCTGTCCACTTATTTCCATATCCACCAAATCATTGTTGGCTGACTAGCTAAAACAGGCCCAACTCTTTCCCCTTTCCCAGCCTCCCTTATAACTAGAGGCCACATGATTCACTTCTGGTTAATGACATAAACATAAAAATATGATGAGGGTTTCTGGGAAAGATTCTGCCTTTGTGATAAAAGGGATGGAGCTTGTTAGTACCAGCCTTCCTGCCTTTCTTCTCAGCTTGAATACAATCGTGATGCCTGGAGCTAGGGCAGCTGTCTTGCCACCATGAAAGAAAGGCCTAGAGAATCACTGAAATGCTAGTTCTGGAGTCATTGAGGCATGGAACATAAGCAGTTGCCTTCCTCCAGGCCTAAATGCAGTAAGGAATATACTCCTCTTTATTTAAACCACTGTCGGCCAGATTTTCTGTATTTGCAGCAGTAAGCATTGCTAACTAATCTGACTACCTCAGAACATCCTCTCCTGCATGGACATCAGCAAAAGCTCCTAACTGGTCTCTGTGCTTCTGTTCTTCCCCTGCTCCAATGCATAGGGTCATTTGGAAACACAAATCTGATCATGTCACTTCTCTGCTTAAAACTCTTTATTGGCTTATTGATGTTCTTAGGATAAAATGCCTTGACCCAGCCAATGAGACCTGCAGGGTCTGGCCCTTCCTACGTCTCGAACACCCTCTCACGACATGCTCCCCCTTACTTCCTCTGCTCCAGCCAGGCCAGTCTTTTTGCAGTCCCATGATCCCTCCCATCATGAGGCCTATTCCCCCTGTCCGGAAAGCTTTTCCCGCCCACCTCTGCCTTGCTAACTCCTCCACACCCTTCAGATCTCAGCCCAGTTGTTGCTTCCTCAGGGAAGCTTTCTCTGGCCTCCCTGACTAGGTCAGATCCCCCTGCTGTTTGCTCTCGAGGCACCGTGTCCCTGCATAGCTCTTACAGCATTACCATTTTCAATCTGCATGATTCAGAGGTTGTCTGTCTCTCCTACCAGAATGCAAGCTCCAGGTAGGTGCAAGAATTTCATCCATCTTATTCACTGCGTTATCTTCGACCCCTAGAACAATGCTTGGCATGTGGCAGGTGTTTGCTGAGTGAATGTGAGCCTACAAAGAACAAGATCCTTTCTCTTAGGACATTTTATCTAATTCTCACAACTGTTCCAAGGGATAGACATTACCCCTCCTCCCAACTGACAGAAGAAGAAACTGAGGCTTGGAGAGGCAAACTGACCTGCCCAAGGTCACAGAGTTGGTGGCAAACCCAGAAACAAAATCCAGTGTTGCCTCACTCCAATGCCTTATCTCTTCTCCTGCCTGTGCTTCAAGCCCAGAGAGGCCGAACTTATTAAACGTCAGTCTGAAGCAAACACAGTAATGAAAGTGGATTTGCTTTAAAAAAAAAAAAAAAAAGGAAACAAACAAATAAAATAACCTCACCCATACCACACACTCTAGACCTAACCAGAGTATGGTTTCGCCTTTCCCCCGTGTGGTGAGTACTGAGTTTGTTCTAAGTCCAATGTCAGATAAGTACTAAAGGAAGCTCCCTGAAGCCCTATAACAACTCTGGGTGCTGGTGTTATTTTCCCCATTTTACTGCACCCAGGCGTCTATCCACTATCCCAGGACACAGAGAGCTGCCCAGATGTGGAACCTCTGGGCCCAGAAAGGCAGCCGCTTTTGCAATTGCCTGTGGCTGGCTGGGAAGTGGGGAGTGAAGGAGTCTGGGAGGGTGCCGTGTGTGACAAATTCTCTGATGCAGCTCGAATCTATCTGGGAATGGAAGAAGTGGCACACATGCCGTCACCAAGAAATTACCCAATTTAGCACCAACTACACAATCCAGCAATTAGTTTCTTAAACCGGAACTTGCTGGGGGCTGCCAGGCTGGCGGGGTTGTTGTTACAAATCTCACTGGGAAACCAGCTGTGTAATTCGCCAGGAGGTTGTCACTGCCCCAAGCAATTACCTTCCAGAAAAAGAATGGAAAATGGAGGAAGGAAAGGAGCTGCAGAGGAAGGAGTCAGAGTGTTTTCTTCTGCTCTCCCCCAGGGCCCTGCCTGGCCAAATCAGTTGATTTTCCTTTCTTGAGACCAAGGCGACTCACAATCTCCCTGGATCAAAGCAGTCATCAGTGTAGACTCTGTTGTGAGTCTCTCTGGGTTCAAATCCCTTTCCACTCACTAGCTGTGTGTGCTTGGGCAGGTGATGCACCTCTCAGCTTATTTTCTTATCTGTAAAGTGGGGATAATATTGGAGCCATCAGGAAGGTATTAATGATGTGACGGTTAATGGGGCAAAGCACACAAATCCCTTAGTCTTGTACCTGGTGTCTGGTGGATACTCAGTAAAGGTCGCTATCATTATTTGTACCTTCATTTCTACAACTTTCTCCATTGTTTTACAGTGTGACCTTGGGTAGGTCACTTAATCTTTCTGGGACAGCCATATGAAACCAAAGATATTCTGCTGGGGAATAGCAGTTCTTACTCAAGACTGTCCAAACGTGGGCACCCAGGGCTCCAGGTGTGTTCGACAAAGGCCAGTGTCTTAGAGATTGACACAAAGTGATGCCTTGGGCAGTGGGGAAGATTTCAAAAAAGC